TTTGTATGAGATATTTTTATGTGCAGCATGTATTAGTTGTCCTGCAATTACTAGTTATAAATAACTCTACAGCTAGTATGAATCACAAGTTCAATTAGCAAGCCGACTGCCTATTTTCCATACTAGAAAATCGGTACTTCTTGCGTGTATTGATGTCAGTTGTCATATGTCGATCAGAAATATAGTTCGACTATGAATCAAAGCTATTGGTTAAAAAACTGATTAAAAAATCGTTCCATAATTGGTAATCTGGTGCTTTTCTGTCTAGTTGAATATCTGTTAAGAATTTCTAATTGTAACCTTAGTACAATAGTTTTATATGTTACTGAAAATTAAAATCAGATGCCGTGATGTAAGTATTTGATATGTAGACAAAATATCCATTTTAAATAAAACCTAGCAAAAACGTGTTGAAGGGCAGTAGAACTTTCAACCCTAATGTATCTAAACTGACTAGCATCGTATATCGTTAACCCTTTTTTATATGAAGAATTCCGAAAACTCGAAATTTCTTTGTTAATCCTTTTCCCGAGATCGTCAAATAAAAAAGTTTTCCCTGCAAGCACTTCTCTCCGATTGTTCAGTGAATATGGCAGCTATTACTATAGTCGTCCGATCTATACAATTTCTTCGGAGATTGCATTATTGCTTAGAGAATAACTCATGTCAAATTTCGTGAAGATATTACGTCAAAAAAAAAAGTTTCCCATACAAGCACCTGATTCCGATTGTTCATTTTGTATGGCAGCTATATGCTATAGTGGTCCTATATCGGCCGTTCAAATGAGCAGCTTCTTAGTAAAGAAAGTGCAGGTGCAAAATTTCAGATCGATAGCTTAAAAATTGAGGAACTAGTTCGTATATGTACAGACAGACGGACATGACTTATCAATTCAGCTCATCGTACTGATCATTTATGTATATACATATATAATAGGGGCTCCGTTGTTCCCCTCTGGAAACTCCAAACAGCTCCCTATTAGTGGAGTCTGTTCTGTTTGTGTTTTGCTAAAAACCTTTTGCTTAAATTCGGCTCTGTACAGTTACCTAATAGGTTAATAGGAAAGTCAACCCGAAACCAGTCATTGTTTAATAAACTTTGATCAATTTATATGGAATACCAGGACATATTAATCATAATAAACCCTTTTGACCAAGCGACAATCTGTTGAGAGTTTATCGCTCATTGAAACTCTCTATCTGCTTCGTGACATTAGTGATTATTTTGTCACACATGTTCTGACAAAAGTGTAACTTTCTCCAGGGACTGCTATCAGCGTTCCTAAAAGAGCTGGAAATTTCATTAAAAAAAAAAGAAAGGAAAATTCTTGTTAGTCATAGCAAAGAGTGTCGAGTTTGATGCTTTACTTAGATACATACATCTTGCTTTTCAAAAATTAAGATGAATACCCTTACTATTTCCATATTGTCTTACACAGAGTTGCATCTGTGTATGTTTTTGTTCATATGAAGTTCGCAAAATAATGATGCGTCAATGTCAAGGTGAAGTGCACAAATGGCACTATATATAATATTTCACTCCGAACTCGCACTCACAATGAATTCACCGCCACTAAACTTCGCTTGCCATTGTACACCTGTGGCGCGTAAGTTCATTTGGCCCACTCATGCACTTAAACTCGCTCGTCGGCTTCATATTCGAAACTCCACGGTTTGTTTGTAAGCAATTTATCAAATTTACAAAAGCGTGCACGTTGAGCTGCTCAAATTACAGACATTTAAATAAATAAATAGAAATGAAAACAAAACAATGGTAAATTGTTTAGTGGAGCATGTGTACATACACTGTTGTGAAAAATATTGAGGATAGTTGTGATATGCATACAAATATGGAAAAATAAATAATTAACATTAGAGTTTATAGTAACTCGAAACAGTAACTCGAAACGGTAATTTTATTTTTTTCTTTGGATTTTTATTGTACACAAACTAATAATTGTTAAGCGAGAATCAACACATATTCTTATAGGAAATTTACCGATCTACAAAAAAGGCCTAAAACTTGTTTTGGTTTAGTCAACTTATTTCAAGTTATTCGTAGTTTTTTATGATTTTCTGTTGGACTTTAACTTTAACAATATATACATGTGTATATACATAAATGATCAGCATGACGAGCTAAGTCGATTTAACCGTGTCTGTAAATACGCAAACTAGTCTCTCAGTTTTTAAGATATCGATCTGAAATTTTGCACACGTCCATTTCTCTCCAAGAAGCTGCTCATTTGTCGGAACCTCCGATATCGGACCACTGTAGCAAATAGCTGCCATACAAACTGACCGATCAAAGTCAAGTTTTTGTAAGAAACCGAAGTTAAAGTTTTTTCTTGTTTTATTTGATAACTGCATAATTTTTTTTGCGGATGAGGAGCTGAAAAATGCCTTCCGCATCATTCGGCACAGCAACGTATGTGCCACTTGTAGGTCACTATCAAGTATTTTAGTATTTAAAACACGAAAAAGACATAGAAACCGAAATAAGACAGTTAAACCATAATAATGTTTTCGTTTCGTTGGATGGCATGATCTTATCGCTTTAAAAAAGTTCGCAATTTTGTTGCAATCTGCTGGCAAGAGGCTTTAAAAATCCTTTATTCAGTCCGTCGGTTTTGTTGAGCGCTTTACTATCTCTCCAGGGCTTATTGTACGATTTTCACTGACATTTTCTTCACTTTTTCGATATTTACGACTTAACTCTTGACTCTTGAATCTTTCTTAGAATTCATTAGAAATTCATAGAAATTATAAACAAAACCTTTCCATTCTTTCGTTCATGATGTCACGTCCTTAAATTTTTATGTCAAACGTACTCAAAAACAAAAAATAATAATAACAGGATGATACTATTCTTATTTTCTCTTGTAATCTCATTGCTTCGATATCTTAACTTTATTTCCGGCAAAGTATCAAAATAAAGTCTCTTCTTACGAGTGGGTCTATTATTCTACCCACGACTGTATATGTATATACTCGTACGCATGTATAAAAATATTAGCAGTCAAAAGTAAATATATGCTAGATATATATAAATGTCATAACACTTCATTGCAGTCCAGTGCATTATTTATTTACTCTTAATGCACACTTGTCTGTATGTATATTTGTTTAATTTAAGTAAATATACAAGTAAGTATGTTATTTCATCTGCATAAGCGCGAATAATACCAAGAAACATTGCAAACGCCCAACAAATCGACTAAATTGTACGCAACGAAAATAAATAATTAATAATAATAAAAATAAATAGCGAAAATTCGATTCTTTAGCTAAATACAACAAAAATTGGATATATATGTATATTGTGATGGAAATATCGTCGCATTGTTTACAATTTTAAATCTTTTAGAAAACTTTCCACCAAAAAGGCTACTCATATTACCTCTGATACTGTAAACAACTAAAGACTATTGGGAATCATGTTTCATAGCTAAAATTTCTTAGCACCGCAAAGCATTGACCGATCACAAATAAACTACAAACTCGCAATAAAATCTGCCCACAAAGTCTATATATCTATCTTTTACACTATAAGTTCTAGAGAGTAGTTTACGAAGTTCTAGACCTGTTAGGAGACAGTATAATATGTAATAACTTGTACGTCAAACACTAACTTGCATTACAAACAACAGCAAAACGCTGATTTCCTAGAATCTAACCCTCAAAACCCGAATATAATTGAAAAATCTAAATGTGCACATTAATTTCATTTTGCGATATTTACCGAAATAGACGCTATATGTTAGAGATTGCTTATTAGCAACATCTTTAGAGATTCCATCTAGATCTAAAACTAAATCATTGACTACTCTCACCCACTAACTGCCGTTTAAGAGTTAAACAAAATAATAAAATAAATTACGAGTGAATGATTGTAATCACCTCCAAATGTCCTTATGATTTGGTTAAATTACGATCTGAGTTAAACTTCTATTTAACCAGTCCAAGTTTTAGTCAATTAGTAAATTGTCTACTTTAATGGAAATTTTTAATTGACTTATGACAGTTAATGCCTTAATTAATTTGGCTGAATCAATAACTTAGTCCTGCTATAAGTTCTGTACAAGTTTAGACCGTTCTAAAAATTAAACTGTAATATATTTGTTTAATAAAATTAATTTTTTTTAACAATGCATATAATAAATTAGCGATGTACAAAATTTTATTCGAAATTGTCACCTTTTGCTTACACACAAGCCCTCAAACGATTCGGTCATTGAGCAGCACCCAGTTTCTATTGGTATTGACGACGTTGCTCGAACAAAAGATTTTTTGAGACTCACCAAATTTCTGTGTGGTATTCATGGACAGGCCATGTTATCCAACTCTGACCATAAACTGTAGTCCGATGGATCCAAATCTGGACCAAATTCAGTTGGGCAATCATCTGCAGCTATGAAACCAGGAATATTGCTTTTAAGCCACTACGTAGTGGTTTTTGCTTTGTGTGCTGGAGCAGAATATTACTAAAAAATCCAATGCTCTACATAGAAGAGAGTATTGCTTAACTGTTTTACCACGCCTTCTAAAACATCATGCTGGCGCACTTTTGTCCCAGTTTTAACCCCTTTTTCACAGACGTAAAGAGAGTTGCCCTTACAGGAGACAGGAGAGTTTTGCAAGAATTTCTTAATAATTAGTTAATTATATGGTAAATTGAGCACAATTAGGGGTTTAATTGTAATACTCAATCCAGAGCTGTTTAGCCATAATATAAGTTGTCTAAAACGTTGTTATTGTTGTAGCGGCAGAATTCTGCCGAGTTGACTGACAGTGCTTGGCCGGATAAAAATCCGGGTCCATTCCGGTTACGTAGACCGGACGGTTGTGAGAACAACAACAACAACAAGATGTCTAAAACGTCACTTAATTTCTAATAATATTTTGAATAAAACCACTAATTTAATCAGTTTTAAGGATATTTAAAAAACTATAATATATTTCACATGCTAAAAATGCTTTTATCTTCAATCATTTAACAGATTTTGCAAAATTTGGGCAAAGTTGACCGGACTGCCGATGATATTTTCGACGATCATTTAAATAATTTCAATCGCCAACAAACTAATGCCAACAGATTACAAAAGGAGTTCAACAATTACATCAGATGTATTCGTGGTGAGTGCTGCGAAATCTAATTGCTAATAGTAATATACATAATAGTTACTTGCTTATCTTTTATAGCTGCTCAAACCGCTTCCAAGTCGCTAATGGATGCCATTTCCGAAATCTATGAACCACACTGGGTCGGCTTTGATGCGTTGCAGGCGCAGACTGGCGCTGCCGAGAGTCTTTGGCAAGACTTCGCACATAAATTGGCAGATCAAGTATTGATTCCGTTGAATACATACACCGGACAATTTCCGGAAATGAAAGTGAGTCGAATTTAATGAAAATAAATGAAAAGAGATATATAAAAAGTGTCTTCCATAGAAAAAAGTGGACAAACGCAATAGAAAGCTGATTGACTATGATGGCCAACGCCATTCATTCCAAAGTCTTCAGGCCAATGCTAACAAGCGCAAAGATGATGTCAAGGTAAGTGTTGTTGTTGTTTCAGTGTAATAAAATTTAAATACATACAATAATTATTAATTTTTTTTCGCTTACTGAAAACTAAAGCTCACCAAAGGACGCGAGCAGCTGGAAGAAGCTCGTCGCACCTATGAAATTCTCAATACCGAGTTGCATGATGAGTTGCCCGCCTTATATGATTCAAGAATATTGTTTTTGGTCACCAACTTGCAGACGCTCTTTGCAACGGAACAAGTGTTTCACAATGAAACGGCTAAGGTGCGCTTTAAACAATAATAAAAAAATAATTAAAATTCATTTTAAAAAATAATTAAAACTTGTTTTAAAAAATGTTGGAAAAAAATTTGCAATAATATAAAAAAACTGCTTTATCTTAGATCTACTCCGAACTGGAGGCGATTGTGGACAAATTAGCAACGGATTCTCAACGCGGCTCGAATACGCTACGAAAGCAAACTAGTAAATTTATGGAAAGTACGTCAAGTCAAAAAAAAAAAAAAATTTATTTGAAATTTAAAAAAAAATTACAATTTTTACCCGCTTACTATCTCTCTCTTTCACTGCTAGGCACTGCCTTTTCCGCTCCAAGCCCCACAAAGACGTCACCATTCAAGCAAATGAACAACACAAACACCACCAATAACAGTAACTATCAAAATCAGATCACCACCAATGGCTCCAGTAATGTCAATAGTCGTAAGTACCTTAGTACACACATACAAATACACCATTTAACTACTAGCTTCGTAGGATGTGTTGTGCTGTGCTAATTTTTTTTTTTTTTTTGTTTTGGTTCTTTTACGCTTTTAGTAGTGAAAAGCATTTAAATGCCAAAGCATATGCAAGCGTGTGTTTGTGTGAAAGTATGCCAGTGGGTGTGCAAGTGGAACATTCATCTTTTAATGTTTTATTAAAAATATATAATTTTATAAATATTTTTGAATGCCAGCACAAAAATGTTGTTGGCCATTTTAATATTGTTTTTTTCTGTTCTCTTTTTGTAATATTGTTTGTTTATTTTCTTTTCACTTCTTTACTTTCGTATATACGTATATATAGCTGAATAAAAAAAATAAAAAAAATTTTGACAAAATTTGCATTTGCATAAATTAAATTTAAAAAAAATTGCTTGCTTTAATTGTAAGCTAAATACAATTCGATTTAATATTTTGCACACAAAACTTGTTTCGAAAATTATAATGCTTTTAAAAATTGGAAATCGCAAATTACAGAGAAAAAAAGACAAAAAAAAAACAAAGTTATACAATAAAAGTATGTATGTTATGCATACAATAACATGCACTTGCATTGCTTTATTAGCCACGAAAAAAATTAAAAAAAAAAAATTAAGCACATTTTGTCTCACTTAATAATATCGAATCGAATTTAGCTTATTTATTATGACCCTATACCATTTTAATTTCAATAAAACCCCACATTTTATGAGGTTGTGTGTGCCGAGTACATTAGCCAATTAAATTATATTTAGATGATAATTAAATTATAATTATAATTTCTTATTGACAAACATTTTATTTGCAGTAGAAGTAGTTATGTTGTAGCGTTATAATTGCATACGTTTATGGCCATAAAATTGTATAATCATAATTTTTTTTTCAATTTATAATAGTTATAATTTTGGTTTGCTTTAGTTTTATAGTTATCTTACATAACACAATATATAAGAAAAGTAAACTTTCATGTAGTGAGCATTTTTAACTACTAAACGTGGTTATACAAAGTTTAAAATTTCATACTAAAATTATTGCAACAAACAGTTTCGTTAAAAGTGTCCGTTATATTGGTGATCACTTTTTCCCATTTACTCTTTGATCATGCCTAGATTTGGTCAAAAGTTGAAATTTGAGTTTTTTTCATGAAAAATTTAGATATACCATATCCATAATTAGAGCGGTGAATACAGTGATAATTCGAACCCCAATTTATGTAATTCGCTACATTTTTATTTTATTAGAAACACAAAGAGCTATAAACCGATTTTAACTATCCTTTAAATCTTCGCTACCAATTTTGTAGTGCGATTTGTCTTATGTTTCCAAATTGATTGCTTACTCCGCGATTACCTCTTCATAGTCTCAAGATTTTTTTCCAGCAGAAATTTTATTTAGATCTAAAGACACGGAAAATAAGCCAAGGGCCAGATCCGTGGAATACCAATTTTTAACAGCAGCATTTTTTTTTATTTCTTGTTTTTGTGCAAATACCAAAACTTGCCTCAGATATGCTGTATTTCACGAGCTATTGCGCACTTTCAACCTGACTGGTAGCAAGACACATTCGATCAACTCTGAAATTACATTATAAGGCTAGAAAATTTAAGTTGTAGTTAATTTTATTTTGAATCTAAAGTTTATAAATATATGGGCTTTAACGAACATTCAAAATTAAAATTAAAATATAATTATATTAAGACATATGCTTATAAATAAGCAGCAGTACGAGTGTGTATGTGTGTTTTTTAAGCTTTGCTTTTAATTTTGACATCCAAATTTTGCATGTAATGATACCTAAATTTATTATTTTTATTTGTAATTAAATTTTATATATTGCTAAATTATTGAAAACAAAAATTTTATAACATTTGAATTTGCATGTGATGAGTTTCTTTTTTTTTTCTTGTTTTCCCCAATTTTCTTCATTTATATATAACGTTTCGTTTGGAATGCTTCTAACAACTGAATTCTGCAACCAACTTAACCAAAAAATAAAAAAAAATACAAAATACCTAACCTCATAAACATACTCTGGAACAAAATGTAATATACAATTGGCTGACAAAATTCGCAAATCGAAATTCGTCAATGCACATACGAAACAACAAACATAAACACATAAACAAACAAAACAAAATACCAAAAACAAACAGCATCATCCACATCCACAAGCTCCTCACATCAAACATCCAGGCTTGACTCAGTTTCTCCAACACCAGAATCCACACCGGAAAATTTGAAAGCCGCCGACAATGCTGCTGCAGACACCAACATCTCAAGCGCCAGCACTGGGCCAGCATCAACGCCGGGCAGTAGCCCCTTAATCGGCACACTAACGCCACCTCCATATCAAAGTGCAGCTACTGCTCTGCTTGCGAACGCTTCGAATGCAGCGACGCTCAATAACAGCAACAGCAATGGCGGCGTTGAACCGCGTCCAGTTGCCACACCGGAAAGTCCCAATGCGAACACAACGCTCGACTCTGCTGCGGCTGGTCTAAACGACAGCGCTGCCGCTGTGGAAATCAAGTCCGATGCTGCTATTGAAGTGGCAGTCAACAACAAAGAAAACGATGTCTCGATTGCTGTGCCAGCAACAATAACAGCGCCAATCACACTAAAGGCCGAGGAAAGCAGCAGCAACAATCCAAGGAAATCGTTGAAGCTCACACCGGAACAGCTGAATGGCAATGCTAACGGCAACATCAGTGAAAATGCCGTGGCGCCGCAGTCAACCAACGCCGACGGCAACGTCAATGCCAATGCAAACGCCACCACAGCCGCCGCAACGGCAATGCCACAAGCAGCAGCAACGCCGACCGATGTGAACAACGGCAATGCGACGGATGAGACGAATAAGAAATCAGGAGGTAAAGTCATTCAAAAGTCACCAAAAAGACACAAAGCACAGTTATTGAACCCATTGAATTTGATACGTAAATCACGCGCTGCCGCGTCCAATAAAAACGAAAGTGTTGTTGAAAAGCGTGCCGCTACCAATGACCCTAATATTATTGATAATGTAGCTACAACAAATGTTGTTGATGAGCCAAATCTGAATATTGAAAAAAGTCAAAAGGTAGCCGCGCCGGTTAGTAAAAATCCTTTCGAAGAAGATGAACAAATCTACGAGATACCAACCGGTGAGTACACATCTCGTCGGCACAGCGCCAATGAAACGAGTACATACATGCTATGTAGATCGTTTACGATCGTATGCTTCATCACTTCTCTTCTTCTTCTACTTCTTACACATGCGCCTTCTCATAAGAAAAACAAACTTATATATATATATATATATAAAAATATATATGTATGTACCTATTTATCTATGTATGTATGTATGTAGCAAGAGCTGTATAGGATTCGACGCACGCATAGTTATTGTGTTGTGCCAAAGCGTTTGAGAGCCTTTGTAAGTTTACCTTTTTCAGAGGTAACAGTTTTTAGGCGATTCGCTTACGCTTTGGGTTTACAGTTATCTTGGTATGAGTACGGCGCTGCGAAAGCAACAATTTAACCCCATGTTTGTAACAATGGTGAAGGATATGTGCTTTGAAATAGTTTTTTGCAGTACTTTAAATTACATATGACTTGCGAAAAGGACAAAGAAATTACCAATAATTGAAAAAAGAGAGACTAAAAAATTAAAACCTGAAAAAAGAGTGTAAATTTTGAAAAGTTGTTGTCTCATTGCTTGTTTTATTGTTGTTGTGCTTAAAACTAACTTGCAAATAGCGAAGCCAAATATTATAGATAGATCAAAAAAAATTGTATCTAAATAAATTAAAATATAAATGATTATATTTTTTTATTGAAATACGGTTTTTTTTTCTTAAAAATTATTTTTTTCTTAATAAAATTTAAATACTTTTTCTCAAAATAATTTTTTTTGTAAAAAATAATATAACAAATCTTTTCTTAAAAAATTCAAATCATTTTTCCTAAAAACGAAATGTCTCGAATTTTAAATTTTTACGGGATTTAAAAACAAATATGTTATCCCACACACCGTATTGAAATATAAAAATAAAAATTAAAATTTTGAATTAAAAAACATTTTTATCCGGTTTGTGGGATTAAGCATTAATTTTTTCAATCCGGTATGTTTTTTTTTTGTCTGTATTGTTTTGGGATTACAAAAAAAAAAAAATTGTATTCAATTTTTTTTAATGCATAATTTGCAACCCGGTTTTTCTATAGTTTAAAAATAAATTTTTAATCCCAACTACCGGATTGAAAAATTAAAAAGAACCATTATAATCGCAAGCATATACATATGTTTTTAATAATGAAGGTAAAAAAGAATTGTTTTAGAATTAATTTAAAAAAAAATACATACCGAATTGAAAAATAAAAACAAAATTTTTAATTAGAATTAAATAAAATAAATTTTTAATCCGGTTTGTGAGATTATTTTTTTTTAATTCCCGTATAAAAAAAATTGAATTCCAACATTAAAATATTAAAGTTTAATTTTAAATGCAAACTTTTTTTAATTAAAAAATTCGCTAATAAAAATATATAACAAAAATATTTTTTTCTTAAATTCATTATATGTACATATGTATACTTTTTTCTTAAAAAAAATGTATAACAATTCTTTAAAAAAAAAGTCAAATAATTTTTTCGTTTTCGTTATTTTAGTTAATTTGAGTTATAAGCAACACAGCTATTTTGATCACTCCAATATACATATTATATACAGATTTATTTTTCGATTCTTGGTAACCACGTATTTATCAAGTTGCGCTTTGCAAATGAAATGTTTTCTTTAATCTATCTCAAGAACGGAAATATTGAGCTGAGCATGTACAATCAATTTGTAATTTGTATGACCAAAATATGAGAAGAATGTTATGCACCGAATTTGGTTGAAATTGGGCTGTGCCACGCCCACTGTTTAATTTTGAACGCGGTTCCTATAAAGTCATCTCATACCATCCCAGAGATAAAATTTAATGTCTCTGGCGTGTTTAGTGCTTGATTTATCGCGCTTTTAGTAGTTTTTAACAGTTCCGTTATATGGGGAGTGGGCGGAGTTGCCACCCGAATTCACCCATTTTCACACTGTAGGTAGAGGTTCTAAAAGCATTTGCATCCGGTGAATTTTGTTATTATAGCATTAGCGGTTTAGGAGATATGCACATTAAACCTATTAGTTCGAGACCACGCTTACTTTAAAAAAAATTTTAACTGACAGACAGTCACCCGGATTTCAACTCGTCTCTTCATCCTGATCATTTATATATATATAACCCTATATCTAACTCGATTAGTTTTAGGTGTTACAAACAGCCGTTAGGTGAACAAAACTATTATACTATGAAGCAACAGGTTGCGAGAGTATAAAAAATTGGGACATTTTAGAAAATATTAATATGTATATTTATTTGCAACTCAACGAATTTTGGAAAAAATTTCAAATTTTATTTCATTGCTGCTGGAAATATATTGTTTCCGGACCACAGTCAACTGTTACACTGTAGAAACAAAGATTTTAGAAAAAAAATTAATAAACATTCTTTAAACTTTCATCTGTTAAGAACACTTCAAAGCTTTTCTAAAGTTTACTCTATCCACCGAATGCTCGTACACAATTGCAGTTGGATTCAATAGCCACAATTCTAGAATATTTGTTTTTAAAATTTTTTGTTGTAGACAGGAGGGTTTGACTTTTTTCAACATTTACGTCAAAAGTTCGCAAAAAAAATTTTCGCAAATACTTGAAACATATCATCTTATACTATAATCTTTAACATGTTTTAATTTACACAGTTCAAACATTTCTTTCAACAAAACCAGAACAAAAGACACTTTCTTCTAATACACAATAACACTTTTTATAACACACTTATTTAAAAAAATTTATTTTTGTTTGTATTTTTCATATTTTTAACACGAAGCGCCTACAACTAAGAAAAAGGCACGTTTGTTGCACAAGTCTATTACTGTTGTTTTTGTTGTTGTTTTGCAACAAATTAACAAAACTAAACTGTGTTTTTACATAAGATTTTTTTTCTGAAAAATTTTTAATTTTGGAGTTGTGAAGTTTCGTTTGAAAGTATATTACTAAAAATTAAATTTCGAAGTTGTGAAGTTTTCTTTGAAAGTTTTTATTAACCCCAGCCGAGATCTAACCCACGCTGTCGCGTTAAATAGCAGCGCGTATTGTTGTTTTACAAAACTTTTTTGGGTCAACCGTAGCTGTTGCAATGTTTAACAAAACCAAAAAATTTAATAAAACGAAATAAATTTTTTTTTTATAATACCGGCATACTTTGTTAATGATTAACACCAACGCAACGCTATGAGTCTAATTCTAATTCGCGTTCACACTTACTCTTCTCTAACCCACACTTCTGTGCTAAATGTGCGCTTAAACAACGAAAGTGTATGCAAAGCGGGGTTCTAAATTTTTTTTTTTTGAGATTTAAAAATAAAACTTTCAAAAGTTTCGGGGAAAAAGTGTGTTATTTTTAATTCGATAAAAACATATTTTCATACAATGAAAAAATTAAAAAAAAATGTATAATAATAAATCGGATCAGTAAATGTGTCTTTGCATACACGAGTAGTGTGAAAATTTGCGAGTGCTCACCGCGTTTAACTCTTACAAAAATTTTTAATATCTACTTTGCACTTTATTGTATTTCACAGATGCCACAACATCGGATTTGCCAGCGGGTGTGCTTTACCGTGTCAAGGCCACTTATGGCTACGTGAAGGAGGATGTCGATGAGCTCAGCTTTGAGGTTGGCGATATAATACGCGTTATTGAATATGATGATCCAGAGGATCAGGTAAATATGAAAGTGAAGCACTGGTGACTAATTGCTTGGTTTACTGGTTGTTGTAGTAGCGGAAAATGTTTCCAAAAAAGTTGTGTGGAGTTTCCATGCAATCATTGTTACTGTTGTAGGCGCAGAAAATATTTTCTAAAATAGTTGCGTGAGGACAGTGCTTTACTTTTATGTAACCCTGTTCAATTGTACCAGCATTAGATTGGTACATAGATTGAGCTTACTTACTGAGCACTTTGTGTTCCATAAAAAAACAAAACAAAAATGGTAACCCTATTAACCAACAAATGCTCAACAATTAATCAAAATTAAAAAAAAAAACTAGTTTTTGTTGTAGTTATAACGGCATAAAACGAAACAAATAGTTTTGAAGGAATATTGCCGAGTTGTGAGCACAGTGGTGGCTCAGCATAGTTTATCGCGTATAACAGTGTCTCAAAGAAAATGCATGATGCTGTCTTTAATATCTCCCGCAGAAGAGTTATAATTTTCACCATGCTGTGGTGAAATCTTTTTGTTGTGGGGTAGAAGTTTTCGGTGTTTTCTCTTAAGAATATAGTAAGCATTTATAATATAAGAATATAGTAGTAAAAGAAGAAAATAACATTTCCGTTAGATGTCTAACCGTATTTCTATGCTATTTGTTATTATTTGACAAAAGGACCCATACACTACCTATTTGAAGACATTCCGGGAAATTTATGTTTCAATGAGAAGCTTTTTGATGCCGAAAATACAAATTTAATAAATTCAATTTATTGTTTTTGTTGTTTTCGATAATAATTTCTATATTATTGTCAATATATGCAAAAAAAAAAAAAATTATTTTATATCCTCCTCCTCCTAGATAACCCAAAAGCTATATAAAATATATTAAGTTTGCCACAAAGTTTGTAAAACCCCAAATGAAGCGTCGGAGATCCTATAAAATGTATATATATATAATATATAGGATATATGTATAATATATATATATATATGGTAAATGCTCAGCATGATGCGCTGAGTCGATTTAGCCGTATCCGTCTGTCTGTAAATACGCGAACTGACCACTCAGTTATTTAGTATATCGATCCGAAATTTGCACACGTCCGATATCAGAACTGCCGATATCGGATCAGTATAGCATATAGTTGCTATACAAACTGAAAGTTCTGAATCAAGTGCTTTTTCATTTGGTGCGATATCTTTAAGCAATTTGCCATAAATTATTGTCTAAGCCGTCGGTGCAAGCTCCGAAGAAATTGTTGTGATCGGATAACCATACCATATAGCTGACATACAAACTGAACGATGAGGTACATGTCCTTGTATGGAAAACTTCTTTTGTTTGACGAGATATCATCACGAAATTTGGCATGAATTACTGTCTAAGGCAGCAATACAATCTTTGAAAAAAATTTTCAAATCGGGCTACTATAGCATATAGCTGTCTTACAAAGTGACCGACCAAAATTCGGATAAAGATGTTTTTGTACTCTTTAATGATGTAAGAAATAAAATTTAGATTTTTTTTTTGCTGGTGATTTTAATTATTTCCCCTAAAATATACCCACGATTAAACCGTTCCCAAATCCACCACCCATTTATGTGCTCGATCTTCTGTATACGCCACAAATGTTCTATGACTTTATTAAGCGTTAAGTTTTTTATTACAAATTTGCAGGAGGAAGGTTGGCTGATGGGACAAAAGGAAGGCACAACCGAAAAGGGTCTGTTCCCGGCCAACTTTACACGACCCATCTAGGCAAGCGTACAGGCGGGACGCAAGCCAACCAGCAAGCAAGCAACAAAACAGCAGCAGGCCAGTGCAACGAACAAAAGCAGAAAACATAAACAATAAATAAAGCAGAACAAGAAACAGAAGCCACATAAAAGAAAATATTTATGAAAACAAAAAGTTAAAAGTTTAAGTAAAAGTAGTGAATGACAGTTAAAGCAACCCGAAGGATATTTACGACAATGGCAAATGGCAAATTTAATTGGCTGCAACGAATGGGTTTTTATTGTTAATTTTGTTTTTATAAATATGTATTTATATATGAATTTTTTTTTTTTCTGTAGAAAAATCTATTTTACTCTATTATCCTGAAACACACAAAAATCGAAAAGGCAACAGTTGAAATTTGTTAAAAGAAATATGTATATATAAATATATACATACTTATGTATGTGCATTATTGTATATTTTTATTTAATACATATTTTGTATGTATTTAATATTTCTTTTTTTTTATTGAGAATTGCTTCGAAATTTTTATTTTTGCTTCGTAAATGTTTTTTTTTTTTAACAAATTAAATGTAAATTAACGCAATTTTAGCAGAAATTAAATATTTTACTGAATATTGGCACATAAAAATATTTTTTTTTAAATTTAGGCAAAAAAACAAAATGTTCGCAAGCACTACAATTTTATTATAATTTTTTTTCAAAAATAAAGTAAACCACATTATTTTTAAAGCCGAAGAATTTCGTAAGTTTGTAAATGTCTGCGTTTTGCTTTGGCGGTGTGTTTCTTTTTTCATTTTTGTTTCTCCACAGCGCTTCCTTATATTATAATTGTTGAATGCGAATAGCGTGCTTCACCGTTATTTCAATTCGATATGCAATTTATTTATTCGTTTATGAACATAACCGTTTTCGTTTATCAACAAAAACTTAACAGAAGTCAAAGTTGAGTAAAATTTTATTGTTATTGTTAATTTTTTAATATATATACATATATAGATATATATACATATACTATACATATGTATATACAAATAATAAATAACTAAGTTTCAACTGAGCATATTATAATTAAATAACAGCTGGTCAAAAGCGCTGAATAATATTTATTAACATGATATTTATTTTTATGAATGTAATGTGATTGGAATTTAATTTAGTAAACAATAAACACTTTGATAAATAATCGATAGCTGCAATAAAAAATATTTAACTATTGGTTTAAGAAATTTTACGAAAAAAAATTTTTAATTCGTTTAAATTTTTTTAATATTGTTGAAAAGAAGAGAGCAGTTATATAATATAATTAATTTCTTTGAAAAAAATACAGTTAAAAAAGTAATTATTTTCCTTACAGCGAACAATAGATATGGAAAAAAGTTATTAACTTCCTTAAAGCGAAGATAAGTGTTGAATAATGGTAAACTAGTTGGTATACCAACGAGTTTGAGGCATATATAAATCGTATCATATTCAATGAAAAAGCATAAATAAATGAAAATAATTAATTTAATACATACTTATATACAATCTTAAAAATTTAACCATTTTCTAGTAATGATTAAAATAAAGAAAAAAGCAAACAAGTTGACGAGGCCACAAACCTGTTTTCAGGCATTTTTTCGCTATTCAAAATATTTAGGAAAATCAACATACAAGTTCGACGCAAATATACACTTTACATATTTGCCACCTTGGTAGTCAGAATTTTTGCGCAATCCATACATATGCACTTTAAAAAGTTATATGTATGTTTATGCATAAATATTATTGAAATATATATGAAATAACAGTCTACTGACATTAGTAGTTAAGCGTATAAAATTAAAAAGAAAAAATATGAAAATTAATAGCGTACCAACATAAAAATAATAATAATTTTGATATACTTACATAAATTATGATAACAGTAAAAGCAAGTATAAAAGTCATAAGACGTAACAACCATTTTTTGACATAAATATAATACAGTTATAAAAAGTAAAACAAAAAAAAGTATAAATAAATGAATAAAATTGAATAAATCCAGTGCCAACATGTAGCCGATCGTGCGACTTCGCTATAAATCACATTTTAAAAATCAAAAGTCATTTGCTGAGCCAAAAGTCTTATACATACTTATTGTATTTGAATCGGTGAAAAATAAATAAGTTAAACTAAACTTCTTTTAAATTTGTTAATTTTGCGCAATTGCTTATGGTGAGTTGTTAATTTTCTCACGTTATTTTTAGTAACAATTTACATACATTCATATATACATACATACATACAAACATATGAATAATTGTTATCCTTAAAATTTAGTTGTAATAACAGTGCATCCATCCTATATACTACAATGCCAAAAGATTAAAAAAACACACCCACACACACAATATTTGCACAACTTCTGTGGCATTGTATTTTGCTGCTAATATATTTAATTTTGCAATAAAAGTTTTGTATTCACTACATATGTGTATGGATATTATCCTTTGTTAAATCTGATCATAATTTCATTTTGAGTGTGTGCATAAACAATACAAAACTACTTGTATATTAAATACAATATTTATGAATATAAAACAAAACAGACCATTGTATTTAGTATTTAGTTGTATCTAATTGTACGTATATACATATATTATTTACAACCTGAACTGGTCAACTTTCAAAAACACTACAGTTTACGGAACAAAAATAAATAATTGAACTAATAAAAACTAAAAATTGTTCGTGTTGTTTTTGTGTAGCGCGCATACATAATAAATGTTTGGAGTGGTTGTAGTTATAGTAACATAAAATATTTCTGCAATTACTGTTAGAAACCAGACATGAAAATGAACAAAAATACAAATTTGGAAAACGTAGTGCCTGGAGTTGAGGGAAAGAAGCAAAATTGAGCTATTCTATTGCATTTATTCCCTGAAATACATGAGCTCCCGACATGAAGGAAGTTGTAAATCTTGAATCTGGAAGTATCAACCCAGAATGGTTTTTGTTACTATAAGCAACCAAAAATATGTTATATTATTATCCTCAGTCCATCAGCCGTATAGAAACGGTTTAAAAAATGCGGAGTCGCCAACTTGGCGATTAACACCACGGTGTAGAACACAAGTACAACAGCAACTATGTCAAGCTTTTAGCCTCTAGGAATATGGGTTAATATCATATACATACCTATATTATATAATATATAAATATGTATACATACATATGCATATATTTAAAAGGTTATTTTTGTTGTTTGGCCCTTGGGCAAATGATCTTTAACCTTGACTCCTTGATCGGTTAGGTTAAGTAGATTCCACTTCCTTGGAAATGACTTCAGTTTATATCACCGGTGGTGTTCAGTGCGGACACAATGCTCAAACAGTTTGCAAATTGCATTAAAGTAATGTTATTTAAATAAAATAAAGCAACGCGACGTTTGCCGTTGATAAACCTGACTACGTAAATTATTTCAAATCGCAACTTCTCGTCCATTTACGTTCTCTGAATAAACTACGATACATTAGACATGTTTAATATCGTAAAGTTATTGTTGTTGCTGTTGGAACTCCGAATGTACACAAACAGGAACCGGATACTTCCACAAATTTGAAATAATTTAAGTAGGTTAATTGGTTATTTGGTAAAAAATATAATCTGTGAATTAACGGTTGCTAGAATTAATTTCTCACTATTTCAATGGTCAATTTATGGTTTGAGCGCTTAAAAATTTAATAGCAGTATTTTTAACACGCATGATTATTGTTGGCAATGCTCTTTCGGTTACGCACTGCCTTATTGTTATCTGCAAATAAATTTTCGCACCACTTCTTTCGCATTTCGCTTTTGCCTAGCCCGCCTTATCGACTGCGGGTATAATGTTGTTTTCTCTCTCATTCCTTGCTATTCATTTCAGTAGTGCAGTGTGATTTTTCTTGTGTGTGGTAATGATGAAAATTTTGTAATTTTTTAGCAAAAATATAAAAACTATAGTCCAATTAGTAAGAAATATGTGCTAAACATTAAAACTTACGCATAATTATTAAAAGCATAGTGTCATAAATGTGAAATGTGCTTATATTAAACTAAAAGAGGATTAAGAAAAATCTAATGGGGAAAACTAAATACACCGCAGAAAAAAAGGAATGAAAAAGAGGCTGGAGAAGGTGTGAGGTGCAAATTTTGATTGGAAAGAAATGATTTTCAAGCTGCTCATATAAAATTACGGAAAATTTATCTGTAAACCTAAAATTATACTTGTGAATTTGTTAGTGAGGGCAAATGTGCATAAATACTTGAAAAAAACTCGTATGCAGTTTTTTAAAGCGCTACCGGTTTGTCAAATACAGAAACTGGATGATCTGTGACACAGTAATAGTGAAGTTTCTAGCCCCTACTGTTTCAGTGTATCAATTAACACCAGATATGACCAGAAATGATTGTCGGTGTTTTGATAAAAATATAAAAAGTTTTATCCAAAATGTCGATTGCTATAGTAAAAGTTCTGTGATAGTGTAAAAATATATGACAAAAATTTCAAGTGTTTATTTAAATATTTCGCCAATTGGACTGGGAATTAATTTATATTATTATATTAGTAAAGTGACTTAATTTCATAAAATAATAGTTGCTAATAATCGTGATTTCGGGTGCAATGGAAATTTTCGTTTAGATTTTTTTTTTCTTTCAACGGACCTCGCCCGTCAAATATACATACATCGTCGGACGTATCGTCTGGCATGTGTGTATTCACCCCGTCGGTATCGTGGTGAATCTGTTTTGATGTTCTACTGTGTCGACAAAACAGTTCAGAAATCTTCGATATAAGCGAAAACACGCAAGAGCAAGTGTGACAGCCATATCGCCAGTTTAGATCGGCCGCGAACCATCGGTCTGCTTCTGCGAACTTGTATCATAAAAGTAAACGAAACGTCACGCAATTTATCTTTTTTGCTTATATTTCTTCGTTCTCTTTTGTACTATTTTTTCCAATTGGATTTTGTCACAGTCGTCAAATGATATCAAGTAAAATTTTAACAATTTTTACGAATTTCTTGCAAAACGAAATGAAGAATAGTCAGTGCAAAAAAAACTAAAAGGTAAACAAAGATCGGTGCGACTAGTGAATATTCGCATAGTTACGAAATTACTATGGAGGATACCGACGTATATAATTGTGAATTGATTGGACAGGTGTTATTATAATAGCTTAAAATCATTTAAAATTACACCCCAATTATCAACGCCCATATACAAAAAAAAGTAATTGGTTATTTCATACGATACAGTAACTCTTGTGTTCAATATACCCACGTACACACACTTTTGAATATTCCACCTCCAGCCTCTTGCATTTATGATCTGTGTGAAAAAAATTTAGAGTGGTTTTCTTCATAATGCATAATAATATCATAATAGGCTAAAATGTTTGAATATGCACTCTGACAAATTAAATAAATAGAGAATGTTTCAAAATTAAAAACGCACTGTTATGTATTGATATGTGAAAGGGAATAAATTTTTAGAAGCAAAGAACAAGCAAATTAACAAAAAATTATATTAAGCAAATGTGCAAAAAATACAACCTACTCGATCTAACAACAGAAAAATTATAGGAAATACAGAAAGAGCAGCAAAAGCGGTTGAAGCGGAAAAATGTTCCTTATATTTTAGAAACGAACTCAAGCAACTACAGCTAGATTGAAGAAATGAATTAATAATATATATGCCATATATGCACCAACGGTACCGTTAAATATATCTGGTAATATAAATATTAGTTGCGGCCGCCAATAGAACAGCAAATGCAGCAGCAACTATAGTTCGTCTAATAGCAATATATACAATAGATCTGCAGGGATTCTGTAAAAAGGATTAATTTTAAGCAAAAAAGAAACCAACCCACAAAAAAAGAAAAAAATAAAGAACAATATTCTCCTAATGATACTGCATTCGAGAATATCGACTACAAGGAAATACCAACTTTTGATACGAGTTTCCTTAAGTTTCTGAAATCTTCAACACCAAACTATTTTAATTGGTAAGTTAAAACAAAAGTCATATAATATATGTAAAACAAGTAAAACGTTAACCACGGTGGCAACAAAGCTATAGACCCTACACAAATAAAGAAGTTTCCATATCAGAACTTGATTTTGATGTTTCAGCAGCTTCTTGGGAAAAAAAGGACGTGTGCGGATTTTTAGATCGATATCTTAAAAACTGAGGGACTACTTGACGTACATATATACAGACAGACCGGCAAGCAACTATGGCTAAATCAACTCAGCTCGTGACGCTCAACATTAAAAAAAATAAAATTTTTTTTGACGATTTTTGTTTTGTTTTTTTTATTATTAATTGTTGTCCTAGCTTTTTATATTTTATAGGGTTTAGGTAGCAACCAAAAATACTCTAAGGGGAACGGTTTAAACCTTTTCAATTTAGTTATTTTCAACTTTATACTTAAACCTACATATTGCTGATCGTATGTAGAGTGCGCAATAAATATTTTTTACAAGTGAAAATAAGTTTAAATTACATATCAGTTCATGTGATTAATGAAACTGAATAAATTGTATTATTTAATTTGCGCTGGTGTTATGAATAACGAAACACTTCGGTATGCACACATGTATAACTTCTGTAAACATAGAAATGCACTTGTATGTGCGTATGCGAAAAATATGCATTAAAAACCTAAAAATAATTCATGAAATAAATATCAAATGGATTACTCACTGATAACAAAAGGGAAATATCTGGGTACATACGTTGTGGATAATCAAAATAACTTCCTCTTAATATTTTAAATTGTGCTGAAACGTGTTCAAAAGGTTTTTATTTTCACATATGATGTAGTCTAATTAGAGAGGTGCAGACTCTTCGTATACAGTTCGTATTCACTTATCTTAACTTTATCTATACTAAATAAACAAACAGCTTAGACAAGCTATGCGCCAAAGACTACATAGAAGTCGATTGAGCTTCAAGTGATCGTGTTGCAGCCTGTTCTTATCATACGCAAGTATATCACTCCGAAGACCAGACCAACTATGAGTTGATAAAAAAAACAAAAACAAACCGCACAGAGTCGCACAGCTGCTGATTTTACTTTACGATTTAAACAAATTTATTATGGTTAAATTTGTATTGTTATAATTTATAAACCGCACAGTTATGTATAAGCATATACAATATACATACATATGTATATAAATTCATACATCTGTGCGACAACAACAGTAAATGTTAGAATGGAGGGCCAGCGGCAGAGGCGCCAACAGAGATATTAATAATAAGAAAATTAACATTGGCTAACAGCACACAAAACCTTAATTTAATAACAAATGCAAATGCAAATTAGCCGATGTTGTTGAGTAGGACAAGAATTAGACAAATGTCGTGTCGAATTTCATAATTATATAGTTTGAAGAAAGTTTAGTATATAGCGGTCACGATGATCTCTTTAAATCACTTATAGCTGTCGTATGACTTTTATTCGATTTTCCTGTGCTTTTAGTAGGCTAGTAGCCATGCTACAAAAACAATAAAAACTTTGCACATATATATTAATGTATGTAAGTGTGTATATATGTATGTACATCCATAATAACACGATTACTGTGGAAAATCACAAGTCTATGCTAAATTAGCCAACGTTGATTCTATCGTTTTTCTCTGTTCTTCAAGTCTTTCAACGGTTTTACATTTCGCTTATCGTATTTTCTTGCGCTTGTCAATAAGTAAAGACACACTTTTCACACATCATAGGGGAGAGTGTGCTCTTCTGTCGCTATGGACGCGTACCTATGGCATTGGAAATGGTAGCGTATTACCGTTAATTAGATTTGAACTGAAAATAAAAATGAAAGCGTATAGTTTTTAAATAATTTTACAGTATGTCACCTATTTGATCATGTCTTAGTAACATAAACGGTAATTTGATGTATTTTCTTTACTTTGTATAATTCCATTAATTTTTTATTTTAGAAGCATGCCGCCATTTGTTTATGAATGAATTATTATAGATTGGTTCCATGGTCACGTCAATATTTGGTCATAGGCTGGCGTATTTTTTGTTTTGTTAGTATCATGTCCTTATTTATATAGTTTATAATATCCAAACCTTAAAATAGCCTTCAAACCGTTAACCTCACAAAATATGTCGATTTATTGGCTTTTCAAGTAGGCAGATTAATAATCCTAACATAACTGAAAGACATTATTTTTCGTAAAATCAGATTACAGATACCGTTATTACGATCAGTCAATACTGTTACTGTATATACTACATAGAGTCAAATATGCTTATGTATGTATGTAAGTCAAGTGTATTTTGCTATCAATTTTTTGTTCGAACTTAATTTCCAGTACATTCAAAACTGTATTATGTATTCGAAATTGTAGAGATCTGTGTGAAACATACCGTTAGTAACAATTCTTTGCGTATTTATTTATAGTATTTGTCTAGTTAGTAGTAGTGGTAGCCTCGGAAATAGAATTCTTCAAATAAATCTGAATTCAATGAGCCACATATTTGTTTTGTTGTAACCTGTGGCAAAAAAAATCAATGCTCAGCCCTTAGTAAGCACTAGGAAGGAAACAACATTTGTTATTGAAAATGGATTTGTGGATTGCTTAGCAAATACTAGCTAAATAATATATAGTCTTAAACATTAATCATTTAACTTGTCAGAAATCTAATCGAAATTTCCAGTTTGGTTTACGGTATGTAAATAACGAAACTTTGTAATAAACATTTTTTTAACATTTTTTGTTTCAAAAATATTCAGCCAAAAAGTATGCAAAAGCTCTAGATTCGCAAGGCAACTCCAGTTGATTCTCTTCACATGGTGTTCAGTTACAAACTGAAGACCGTGAGTACTACTTACCGATCCAAATAGGGTTAGATTGCGGAAAAAAGATCCGGGTTAATTCCGGTAGCGTTGAACTAGCTGCTGTGCAACTGCTGTGTATGGAACTGCACCCAAGACAATTTTGTTGTTGTAACGACAAAAAATATTCCTGAAACAAATTTGAAGATTTCTGCCAGTTGAAAGTTTCGGAAACGTGTATTTCATAGAAAAAAATTGCCTACATTTTGGCGCATAGAAGACATAAGCCTAACTTTTTCTAAGAACTTGCCAAAAATACTACAGTAAAAACTGGAAATGATGATCTCACATATATAAATATAATATACATACATATATATATATAACAACCACCTTGTCCTTTCCTAATACGGATTTATTTATTCTATATGTAATAACAATTTCAATGATGGCTGAAATGAAAAAAAAACTACTTGATTTTGTATTATATATCTTGAGAAAATCAAACGAAAGTGAAATCTAAGCATTGAGTACCATATCTTATACACATATAATCACCATATTATGCGCTTTTTTACTGCAGCCAATCGGTTCTACTTTATAGCTTTTTCACCATACTTCTTATTAGAATACGCTATCCAAATATGCTAATTAAAGCTATTCTATTGTCCCTATCACATACATACACAGCCTCTGAGCCATTATAACAGCAACAAAAACAAGAGCGAAAACCATGAGTTTAGTCATCAACCTTGCCAATGGACTGTGAAGTTCAAGACAATTGGATTAGAATACACTTGACGACGGGCGGAATTCGCCATTCGGGGACGAGGTTAACGCCGGCCGCAGTCAAGCGGTTTGGGGGGGTCAACCAACACCACCTGTTCGTTGCAGCAGTTAGCGCTTTTCTCGTCGGTCACTATGATGGTCGCACAAAGTAGATCTGTGCTTTGTTTCTATATATATACATATATGGATTTTTTTCATTGCCTTCGAAGCTTTGGATAGGAAGCCCTACATGGCCGACAAATCGGTAAATGTATGCGCACATTTGGACTCGGGAAGTGTCTGCTTCCGTGACTGCTAGGCAGTTGTTTTTCGATTTTTTGCCTCTTCAGTAGGCCGCGCATTGCTGCATTCGTACTATGCGCACGAGCGAACGAGTGCTGTGCAATTTTTCAATATTTTTTTTGTACTTTTTAAATATATCATAATGCAGCACACCGTTCGAGCGTGAAGAACCATAAAAACGACGCTTGTTTATTACGCATTTTGTTCTTAATAAGATTTGAAACTAAGTGAGATCTGTTATATCTATTTTTAGATAAATATGTCGATAAATTATAACAAAAATTTTTTTTTCTATTTTCAGATGTTTACGGATTTTTTTAAATTAGGATCTTACAAAGAAGGAAAAACGGTACCTATCGTTGGTTGCAACTGGACAAACATAAAGTTCGAAAAGCAAAATATATTTAAAAAAGATTGTGCAATAAACATTACGGCTTCAGAAAAGAGGAGCTCAACCAAAATAAAAGAATTAGAGGAAATACACTCCTATGTGAGCATATCCATGTGAAAATAAAAGGAAGTTAAATTTAAAATTTACTTCGAAATCTTTTGCCACATAAAGATAGTTGCAGTAGCGTACGTGTTGTGTGGCAACATTCATTGTTGCGCTAACCAAAGTCACACGACGACACACACCTACCGAGAAGGTGGTGGCGGCAAAGGAACTGTGGAAGCATTTGAATTTATCATCTGTCCCAAAATTGACTACAAAATAGCTGTATCAGCGACGCTACACCAGACGAGCATTGCGCAACGGTGGCAAGCAAAGCACGGCAGCTACATTGAGGGAGGCTACAGCACGAGCATTTTGCCCAAAATCGTTTACTTTAAATAACAAACAACATTAACAACAAATACAGTCCAGTAGTATATAGATTAGAGTGTGTGGTTAAGGGTGCGGCGTAAGCAGCCAAAAATTTAGCTAGTATGGAGTGCTGTTTATCGGAGGAGGCGAAGGAACAGAAGCGCATTAATCAGGAAATCGAACGGCAATTGCGTCGAGACAAACGCGATGCGCGAAGGGAACTCAAACTATTGCTGCTCGGTAAGTGGTTTGCGCAGAGTTGAAGTATGTTATGACATATTTAAAAAATTTCGAAGTTCGATTCACATAACCTATGACTTTGGAGCAACCAAAGCTAGTAAGAAATTGTCATTGGTGAAAAACGACGCAGATTTTTATTTTGTTGACTTCAATACCATTGAGAAGTATTTTGACTATAGCGACATTGGCATCCTTACATTGAAGTTATGTTGAAACTTAAAAATAACTAAACTCGCCTACATGATATGGTGTCCAAATTTATTCGGTTAAGAGTTTTTATTTCTGTCACATTACTTTTTTTTTGTATTGGATTTAGATACCTACTACAAAAAAGACTTGGCCGTCCTTTGGGCCTCGTTCCTCGCGTAATACAGGCCTCACATTTCATCAGAAATATATATTTAAAAAAATCTCCAGAAATATTTTCTCTACTTACTTACTATTTACTTACCGAAACAAACAGGTTTAGATCGCCAAAATAACAGCCCTTGGCTTTATGAAACTCGTGTTAATTCCGGTAGCGAAGAACCGGCTGTTGTGGCAATTCAATTTTCTTTACTTACTGCCGCTGATAAGCATTTTGAACACTCATTCCCTCCTAACTGTCATATACGAATCCTTTCTCACTACAGTCGGTTCGACGTAACCCGAACGAACTTGATCGATCCAGCCGGTAATAGTAAACTTCACACTATTCTCCACAAATTTTTGAGGAACGATTTATATCTACACAATAACAACAAAAACAATGTCTCTTTCTGCCTTTGAATTTTGTAGAAACAGCTGTTTCTAATAATGGTTACTTAAAACGTCCGAGGTGCAATTTCATATAATCCTTCATTTGTTTGTTCAAAATTATAATACACATTTTTCTTGTTAATAATTTAATTTTTGTTCCTCTTGTCAGGCACTGGTGAATCCGGCAAATCGACATTCATCAAACAGATGCGTATTATTCACGGCAGCGGTTACTCCGACGAAGACAAACGGGGTTACATTAAATTAGTCTATCAAAATATATTCATGGCCATGCAGTCGATGATCAAGGCCATGGATATGTTAAAAATTTCGTATGGCAAAGACGAACACGGTGTAAGTAAAAGATAAAAGCAAAAATCCATTATTTTTAGGCATTTTAGAAAATATTTGAAAATATCAGAATTATAACCTATAAAATTCACTATTAACCTATTCTGCCTAATTTTTCCGACAGGAACTTGGCGAACTGGTTATGAGTATCGATTACGAAACAGTCACATCATTCGAAGATCCATACTTGTCCGCCATTAAAACGCTGTGGGCGGATACTGGCATACAAGAATGTTACGATCGACGAAGAGAATATCAACTCACAGATTCGGCAAAATAGTGAGTACCTTACCGCCATATGCAAAAAATATTCTTATAATTTTAGTGTTCTCCATTACAATACCAAAAAGCCGTGAGGCAATCAATATTTTTGAAGAGTGTAAATCGAACGACATACATACAAACAATATATATATATATATATTGTATATATGATATATAAATAAAAAATATATATATTTATTAGTTATCTGATGGATCTCGATCGTGTGGCTCAACCAGATTATTTACCAACCGAACAAGATATTTTGAGAGTTCGTGTGCCGACAACGGGGATCATTGAGTATCCCTTTGATTTAGAAGAAATTCGATTTAGGTACAGCATACAAATTCTATTTCGAAAATGTGCCTTTTAATTGCATACATGTAAAATATACTACTAATTTGCTTTGACTCTTATTTAATACTAAATATTTACTAAACTTTTGTTAAAAAAAAAAAAACATTGTTTTGGCTTCCAAACTTTTGTGCATGTTTGCCTTATAATTTTTTGTGTGCGACACTAACCCGATTTCTACACATTTTTGTTGAAGGTTAATATTATTGAAAATTATTAGAAGAATTTATGAATTCATGTATAGTTTATAGTACTGAGTTTGAAGCAGTTCACTGGGACTTAGTGAGGTTATGATTTTAGGAAATGAAAGACACGATCAGATTTGCTGTTTGCAGCGATTAAAAATTTTGTTTAAAGAAAATATTCGTAAAAGAATGATAGAAATTTGCATTCAACAATTTTCCATCAAATATCATTCCGCTGGGTATTGCTACCTTTTAAAAACAGTATAGCTTAATATTGTAGTAATAATTAGGTATAACTTCACATACATATAAATATAAAATAAACACTCTTTGTTCGCCAACGCGCAGCTATCTCAGCGATCTTGAGCGTATTGAAAAAGAAGATTTTCTACCCAGCGAGCAGGATATTTTGCGTGCTCGTGTGCCCACCACAGGGATACTTGAATATCCATTCGATTTGGACGGTATCGTATTTAGGTATAATACTTTCTCTAAAAAAAATTTTTTTTGTTTTGGAAAATATTGCAATGAACTTTTCCCGTATGGCTAGACGTAAAAATGCAATAACTCGAAACAGTGCAATATTGCTAATGTGCAAGTTTGGTAGTTTAACTTGAAACTCTTTCATCAAACATTCGCATTGTTTTTGTTGGTGCTTTGTGTAGTTTCATTTGTTTGTTAATGTTATTTATTCATTTTTGTATTTAACTTATATCCTTTTCAAGCATTTCTATGTGTAACGCCTTTACGCCTACGTATTTATGAGTGTTTTTTTTATGTTTGTAACCGTTATTATCCTATTATTAAGCTTCAAACATTTTTCTAAAAATATACCCAAATTAATTAAAACAATTTAATTCAACTCTTTCATAAAATGATCATGCAACTCACACATATATATACACACACACACACGCGCAGAATGGTGGACGTGGGCGGTCAGCGTTCCGAGAGAAGAAAATGGATTCATTGCTTTGAGAATGTGACTTCAATCATATTTTTGGTTGCGCTATCGGAATACGATCAAATTTTATTCGAATCTGATAATGAGGTGAATTCAATTTACGCTTGAGTGTTGAAAATGTCTAATTCGTCTATTGTTTAATTTGCAGAATCGTATGGAAGAATCAAAAGCTTTATTTAGAACTATTATTACGTATCCGTGGTTCCAAAATTCATCAGTTATTCTCTTCTTAAATAAGAAAGACTTATTAGAGGAAAAAATCATGTATTCACATTTGGTAGATTACTTTCCCGAATATGATGGTGAGTACACGCTAATACATTTCTATATTTTTCTGCTGTCATTAGTAGTTGTAAATTATTTATAACCGGTAAACGTGCTAGTTATCAAGAAAGCTATTAGTTATGTTTATTATTCACAATTTTACGATATTATTAAAAGAATTCTAAAAACTTTTGTGATTACGAAGGACCCAAATGTGATCACGCTGCCGCTAAACAATTTGTTCTAAAAAAATATCTGGCTGCGAATCCAGATCCCGAACGTCAGTGTTACTCCCATTTCACCACAGCTACAGGTTAACACCACAAAATTTTACTATAAAGCTTTCAAAGCTTTGCTAAAAAGCTAGTTATAGCTAACTGTTCTAAAGATTGTGTAAATTCTTGTGCACTCAATATCGATTTAGGTTACGTATATACATACATATGTATGTAGTAGTAAGTAGTACTTAAATATAATTATGTAATTAGTTATGTAATGAGTATTGAATGCCTTATAATCATATCGCTTGTACTGTATGTGCTCTTCTTTCATATTCTCATATTAAACGCTAATTAGGTCCACAAAGGGATGCGATTGCCGCCCGAGAATTCATACTTCGTATGTTTGTAGACCTCAATCCAGATTCCGAAAAAATCATCTATTCTCATTTCACCTGTGCTACGGGTAAGTATACGCTTGCAGAAGCGATTGAGATGAGTGTTTGTGTGTGAATTTGTAAAAAAGATTGTGTGAGCGCTTGTGTGTAAAATATGATATATAAATGAAAGCAAATTTAACGGTGTTCAACTAAAAATTATCCACGTGCCTGGCAGGTAATTAAAATAGCCTCATACATCCATCTACATATACGTATAATCGGTAAACGCTTATAGTGCACTATTTTGCTTCAAATATGTACAGCTGTATAATAACGGTATATGTAAACAGAACCGCTAGCATTTGTTGTGTATAAAATCGTGGTAGTTTTCAATAAGCTCTGCAACTTAAAATTAAAAAAAAAAAATACTTTCTGTTTATTATAATAAAATCTTAATAAATTTCCACTTCGGGAACTTGAACTCCATGCGTTCACACTTCGTGCAGATACCGAAAACATTAAGCTTGTATTCTGCGCCGTCAAGGATACTATCATGCAGAATGCCCTCAAGGAATTCAATTTGGGTTAAGCAACTTCACGTCACATAACTGAACGGAGCGCGTCCTCATGTCTCTAACCCGACAACCTAGCTACTTACATGCATATAGTTAGCCATCGCATCAACTTGTATCTGTTTCGCTTCTTTATACTACGATTTTATTAGTACAGATTGGCTTATGTTGCTTGCTAAAGTATAAATAAATAATAATAAACAAATAATAAAAGCAAAAGCAAGATTTAATTTCTAAAATAAAATATATATATAGGCAATAATATTGTAATAATGTTTAGGCAATGTGTAAACTGTTTTGTTTAAGTGCTCGTCAATAAAACAAATTCCTAAAAGTTGTTTTACTTTCGCCATTACATCCCACATAGTGGCCGGTAATAGCATCTGTCGAGTAAAATTCTAAATATTTATAAAAAGGTACTTCTCTGACTAAAAACTCCAGTGTGTTCGAACGTTTGACAGCTAGAAATTTTATGTATATATGAAACTTAGTAAAAAAAAAAACAAGTAATAAAATTAAAAAAATGGTGAATTAAAAGTTTAAAGCGTAAAAAATCTGTCAAATTATCCAAATAAATCAAAAAGTATTATTTATCTTTTATTTCTTTTAATATTGTTGAAGAAGAGTTTCTTCCAAAAAATATATAGTTTATTTGAAAAAATTACTTAACAGTACTATTACTTCTTTCGAACATGCAACAATAAACCTTTATATTACTTTTTCGAATATACAACAACAAGATAGCACGGTTCATTTTTTTTTTTTTTTTGTTACAAATAATATAGAATTACGTGGAACAATAAACTTTTTTTTAACTTTTTCGAATATACAACAACTACAAATTACGATATATTTATTAATTTTTAACAAATAACATCGAATCGGTTTATAACTTTTTAGAATTTCCAAAAGTTATGTTTTCTATATTTTTTCGCATATCGGACAATGCTAAGAAACATTTTTTTATAATAACAATAACCAGAAACGAATAATTAAATTTTCGAAGATCCAAAAATAAAAAGCAATTAACTAGTTTTTCGAACATCTGCTGACAACAACAAACGATTTTAAACCATAACCCAAAAAATATTGTTTTCGAACAACAGTAAAAAATGTATTATTGTAGTTTTTCGAATATACATACATATGTATTTGCATTACATATGTTGTGTAATAATTTGTTATTTTCGATTTTTTTTTTTTTTATTGTATTTTAACTAACGGTGAATTAACTGGTCTATACTTGTCTCAATAGGCTACCTAACTAACCTAACCTAACGGTAAATTAGGTGTACTGTAAGTTTCATATTTGCAAAAGTTTGGTAAGGCTGTGTGTGAGCGAATTTTGTTTTGGTTAATATAAGAAAAAATATCCGTGAGAGTGCAAAGAATAAAATATTTAAGAATATAAAGATATACCAGTCTGAGAGTGTGTGTGTAATATAGCATTTAAGGAGGTCCATAAATATATTTTTCCCCTAAATTTTTTTAACTAATGAAAGCATAGAAAATATTAAAACCATCTCTCTAAAGAGTTGAGAGAGTTATTGTTTTCTTGGTTCTTATAAAATTCCATTGCTGGACCTCCTTAAATTTTTCCAATTTATATAAATACTTTTCTAACCATTTTCTTTTCTCACTTACCACCCTAGATACTGAAAATATTCGATTCGTGTTTGCAGCTGTTAAGGACACCATTCTCCAATCAAATCTGAAGGAATATAATCTGGTCTGAAGTGCATTCAGATGGACAGACAATTTTTGTGATTTTATTATATTCATGATTCCTTTTTCGCATAAAAATATATAAGTAAAACAAAAAAATAAATAAAATAAAAAAATAAAAGATACATATAACGCTAAATTAAAAAGAAAAATTATATAAGCAAAAACCCAAAATATTAGACAAACAAAATAGCGCAAATGGCGATGAATATAAAAATAAAACTAACGATTATTTAAAAAGAAAATTTTATAACGCAAAATAAAAACTAGTAAATAACATTAATAATAATAATAATAATTGAAAGTATATAATATAATAAAATGTATGGAAATTCAGTAAAACTACAAAATGAGACGGCAATCAGGCACCAAAAACATATGTAACTAGAGAGAAACGAGTGAAAATATTAGTTAAATGTATTTTAAATTTTTTTTCGGTATTTCCCAATGGCAACATGAAATTGCGAAAACGAAAGGAACGTCTCATACATACACACAAACACATTCATACGGAAAATACTGAACACAAGAAGAAAAGCAAAAGAAAATAATGAATAATGGAAAAATAATACACATGTATAATTAATTACGAATATAAACACACCTACATACATACATACTTACATTATTTGTACATGTATTGATGAAGTGTACCACTAGATGTAAACATAAATACATTAAAAACACACAACATCAAAAAAAAACCAAAAAAAAACCTAAATAAATGCTAAATGAGAAAACGTTTCTTATTATGTAAATAAGAAGAAGAGAGAAGTTCAACCAAATATTTAAGGAAAAAAAACATGAAAAATAATCATCTACAACAACAACTATAAATTCAACCGCTCCTACAACTGTTGGCCGGCTGGCTGCGCTAATGCGCGGCGAATTGAGCATTCAAGAGGCAAACAAGTGGCAGCAGCGGTTGACGGCAACAAATTCACACATACATACATACTTAGTTAAGGCGAAAATTTATAAGGGGGGCGAATTAAGCGATGAAACTAAAAAGTAACTGCATAATATGCATTGTTTATAAATAATAAATTATTAAATAATATGAAATGTGAATTTTGTTTGTGTAGAATTTGCGCGAAACGTACAGAACATATGGAAAAGTTACACTTATAAATTGCACATTTTAACATATAAAAACATTTAAATAAATTGCAAAAGAAAACACAATACGCCATAAACTCACGCACACTCGCGCACACAAGTATATGGTACATACAAGCAGCAAGCAAATGTAAAGTTGCATGTAAAATGCAGTAACAAATACAAAAACACACGGTGCATGCGTTGTAAAGTAATTAATTGTAATGCAAATACATACTTACAAACATACATACATATGTACATGTATTTGAAAAAAACGACGAAAAAGTATGGAAGCTGTCAATGTCATATACATATATAGTACATACATACACATTAACCTTACTACATACATAAATATATGCATAAACGCACACACTTAAATATTAAGTTATTCGTAAAAAATGGAATTAAAATAATTTTGTGCTTTGTAACTCAATGGCATTAGAATTGTATGGTATAATTGACAATTCATGAATATTTTCGCTTTAAGTTGGCGTTTTTAAAGTTTTGAAAACTATGTATGTACTATGATTGTTTTGATTAATATATATTTTTTTTGTTTAATTCGATTAGTTAACTATTTTTGTTCTTGTTTTCCTTTCATTATTATTATTATTATTATTATTATTATTATTGATTTTTTGTAAATTTGATAATGATATAATAAAAATAATAATTAATATAAATAATTTATATGCGCTCATAAGAAACAAAAAACAACAAATATTTATATTTTTAACAAATAAAGAATGGAAAAAATTCAAATAAACACATATGTGTGGGAAATTAGTTTATACATATTGCTCTATAATGTACTATTTTTGTAGGCATACAAATTGCACACAGTGTCGTAGGTGACGAAAAAATGTGCTAGAATGACTGCAACAATTTCAAAATTATTTTAAGTATTTTGTTTGTATCAGTCAGGCTCGAGGTGAGTGTCAAAAGTAAAGAAGACGCTATAGTAAAACAAAAAACAAAACAAAAAAGGGGAGGCAAGCCGAAAAAGCGACTGTAGTCTGCAGTAACAACTTTTGATGGTGTAACCGAGGACGTCAAACAGGTATACCATATGATCAAGAAGTCCGGGTCGAGTGCCAAAAAAAACCCAAAATTTTCACGTATTTTAATACAAATCTTTGTTTTTTTTTTTTTTTTTTTTTAATACTTTGGCACCACACTGAAGAATTTGCTGCACTATAGAGGTTCTTTCCAGTACCTTGACATAAGCAAACAACTTAGAGAATTTTTATATTTATTTTTTTTTTTACTAATTTTATGCTGCAACAGAAAATAAATGTACGCTAGAAACTAAGCTACTGTGCATTTTTTTAAGTATTTGTTTGCAATCATTTAATAACAATTTTTAAGGTTTCTTATCAAAAACAAAAAAAAAATGCCGACAAATGAAATAAATTAATATTGTACACTAATTTTTTCGTAAATTTACACCTTCACATACGCACATAAACAGATACATACACATGCGCATTGCAAACTGCAGTCACTTAATACACTCTCGTGATGATTTCGAACTCATCACGCAGCTTACGCGTACTCACATATACTCGTTTAATATACAATATAACTTATGTACGTGCGAGAGAATTCGTCGATAAGAAATGTAAAAAAAAAAACACAAAAAAGCTTTAATGAATAAATTTATGTAAATGAATTATAATAGAAAATGCAGTAACCGGCTTTTAAAAAGCTTAAAGAACTTAAACCGTCATCGTAGTTGTTGTTGGTTGATTAATGGTGAACAATGAAAACACATAGTGGTCTTATTTTAGAAAATTACCGTTTATTGTACACGATTGGAAATCTTTTTCTACTTTTAATTTTTGTTTAATTTTTACGTTTCCGTCCAAATGAAAATGAGAGTAAAGCAGATTAAGTTAAGTACTTTTTTTCATAGCTACATTTGTATGTATATGCATACATACATACAAACATTTGTACATGCATATTTAGACTTTTTTCAAATTAATTTTTCTTTTTTAATTAGTTTATATAATTTTTTAAATATAATTTTTTATATTTTTTTAAATTAATTTTCTTTTTCGTTTATTTATTTTTTAATTAATTTATTTTTAAATAATTTTTTATTTATTTACTAACTTGCGTTTATTTAAAAAAATATTAATTTTTGTATATACTGTAATTATAATATACACATGTACATATGTAACAAATACATATATAAACTTGCATAACAACAACATTTTATTAGCAATTTAATAATTTAAAAAAAAAAATGTATTTTAAGCCTAAATCACTGTCACGTGTGCAAGGTATTTCAATACAAGTATATTTTTTCATACATTTGTATAATGTATTATTTACTTGAAATTATGTGCACAATCACGCCATATATTAAAAAAAACTTACTTAATGCATTGAATTTCCGTGATATTGGTTTCTAAATATAGCTTACTTTCCTATTTAAGATGGGGTTTTGCTTTTTTTAATTCACAAATATTCCAAAAGTTGCATACGACTTTACTCAGATTTTACTTACACAATTACACGCGCTTTATTTATGTAGGTATTACTTCAGTAACATAGATATATACTACATATATAAATACAAAAATATAAACGAATTCCATACAACTTGGCCTTGCCTTTCAGTGTATAATATGTATCTTTCTAATATACCTATTTATTAAATATAAAATCGATCGAAAAATATTTATGCAATATTTTAGCAGTTTTCAAAACTTTTTTTCGACAAAACTAAACGTGAATATATATACTTTATATATACATGCATAAGTAAATACTGAATTTTCTATTTTTTTTTTTTATAAATTAAACAAATTTAAACCAAAAACTAAATAAATATAAATCTGCAAATATATAAAATTACAACAAAAAGCATAAAAAATAAATTGGGAACGTGTATCAAATTAAATTTATACTAAGAAATTCAATTTCACAATTTAAAAAAGAAAAGTAAGTACATACACAAATAAATATTGCAAAAAATATATAAATAATATTATACATACAAGCATTACTCATTCTACAACATACCATATATACATATATTATATGTATGTATATTCAAATGCATTCACTCACATATTTCAGAAAACAAAGTTTTTGAAGAAACATAATATTTTTTTTATTAATTTTTTTTTTTTGATTAAAAATAATTTTTTGGTATTTTAAATACTACATTTCTTAATTAAAATAATAATTTCTTTATTAAAATAATCAATATTCAAGTCAAGGGAAATTGTGAGACAGCTCTTTAAGCAGAAAGACCTCTCTTTCAAATTCCAAAACATCGCTTTCAAATATATTTTCAAAAAAAAGAAGTACACAGAACACAGCCCCCTAACGGTTTTGCTGTTTAGTGCTTCTTTAACGGTACTATCTACACGAAATATAACTGAATTAATCACTTAAGTGTTTATCAAATAAAATCACACAGATATTTATGTATGTAGTAGTCTTGGTTTCGCGTGAAAATTACTAATTTGCAATATATGAAAATAAGATGTATTGGCGAGATAACTGTAAAAATGAAACTTAATTTTTATTGCATACCACACAAGTTGGTATAAGAATTGTTTACTTTTATTGCCTATTAGAAGAGTTCTAAGACGTACATAAATGCATTTTGTATTTTTATAAAAGAAATCATAAATTTATAATTTTATAAACAAAAAAAAGAACACAAAAGAAGCACGAAAATTTATATTTAAGAAATGCCTTCTTTACGTCGCCAGAAAGAATTTAAAAGTAGATAACAAATTTGAACTAGATTGGAAAATGTGGGGTTAGGGTGACATAGTGATACCGTTATGTTGAACTAAATTTCAATTTTCGAAAAGTCAGAGCGATAGTTTAAGCGAATTTCAAGGTGCACCCTAATGTATAACAATACTATATACACCTAACGGGCGCTTGATAATCTTTTCAGCGGAAAACTAATTTTACGTTAGTTTTATTAATTATAAATATTAATTTAGACACCAAAATAGTTTTCGATATTCAAAATAAACCTTGACTTCTTCGAAAGTTTTCTTTTTCGATTTTTTCTAAAATTTTATTAGACGATATGGTTGTCATCATTGATTACCAATTTTTTAAGTGGAATTTTCGAGAATGATTAATATGACGATCATGTTCACTTGCTTATTACCATCGCGTCGCAATATTAGAACCCATTATATAATAATTTATAAAATGAAATAGCGGGCCAACTTACGAACTATTTAAAAATCTGTACTCAATTGTGTAAATGATCGAAAGATTCTCTAAAAACTGTAGTATTTCTGGCCCTCTTCAGGAATAAAATGTTTGTTTATGTACAATAGTTTTTAATTTATCGATAAAATTTGGGAAGACCGCCTGGAAATATGCAACCAACCGTACTTTGAATTTTTTTTTTGAAAATAATGCCGATATTTTCAAGAAATATATATATCGAAATAATGTAAATTTTAACCAGATTCCCATATTTTTGTGCTAAACTGTTAAAGTTTCGGTCTTCACTGAGTTATTGTACGTTTTCTCTCACCCATTCCCTCATTTTCCAATCGTTAGTTATCTAACATTTTGCCATAAAATTTCTCGTGGTATTCCACGATTCGCGCTGCACGAACGCTTTACCAATGAGCCACTATTGAGGTGTCTCGTCAGCTGCTTCGATATCAAAAGTCAGGCGACCTAAAAAACTCGCATTGAAGCACCGCAATAGGTTATTATATACATACATACATACATAATTATGTATAACCTTTTTTTTATATAAAATAAAAATAACTACTAAATAGAAGCCAAGCTAACTTGATTACATACATAAGTAATATTTTAGATACACGCACACACAAAAACACCGATAATATTATATATATATAAGACGAGCTGATTCCGCGCAAATCGGCTGAGGCTTGAATCAAGTAAAACAAAAATATAAAAAATAATTTCAAGCAGAAAAATTTAAACTATTTAAAAGAAAGGAAAAATCAAAAATTTATTCATAAACAAAATTAATTAACAATAAACAATTGTAAGAAGAAAGTATGGTAAATAAGAAAGCACAAGTATTTCAATGCTACTAAAAGCATTCTTATGCGAAGAGTGCATGGAATACCATATATGAGATAAAATAAATTTACAACTAAAATTGATAGAAAATTTGTAAAGCTCCAAATCGTTATGGAACTGCGGTGAATTAAAAAACGTCTCAATCCATAACTGTTAGAGAGTAAACCACCACCGCAAAACAAGTACATAGAAACGCGAGATTTGTAGTCGTGCGGCTGACCGTCGTCTGCACGCGCAACGATTAGCCGAGGCGCTCAAATGCATTATATGCTTAAGGGTTCACCAAATCGGGCGTTAATGCATGCACTCGTTTGGTAATTGTAATTATAATTATAATTTCAAATGATAGCAGTGCTTTTTTATAATCACAAGAATATTACTTATATAAGTGCATATACATAAATACATACAAATTAATATAAATATAGGAGAAAATAAAATGAATAAATAAGAAAAATAAGTGGGAAAATTGCTTTACCAAAGTAATGTGTATAAAACATAACGTTTTTATTAATTTTTTACTCATTATTCAGAAATTTTAAAATTATTAATTTTATTTAATTTTTTTATTTTTATTTTTTATTATAACTTTGAAACGTAGCATTTTAATGCAATAAAATTAGTTGCGATATTAAGAATACTTGAGCATAATTGATGCTATGCAAACAAAATTATTTAATACAAAACAAAAAATATTTAAAATCGCGAAATTACCAAATAAACAATTATAAAAAAATATAAAAATTAAAAATTAAAAATAAAACAAAGTATAGTTAATAACGTCACTAGCAACTATGTATTCTTTAACAATACCTATGTATATTTTTTACCCTTGGGAATTGATAATTGATATAACATTAAAAGGCGTAAAAATAAATTTAAAATTAAATAAATGAAAATGAAAAAGAAATGCTATAAAAGCTGTAGCAACGCAGTAAATTTCGAATAAGTAAAGAAAATACAAATTGAATAAACAAAAAAGTTGAAAAAAAAACTTGTATTAGATAATTAAAGAAAATTATCTATGTACACTTAATATTATAAAAATAATATGAATAACTTAAACATGTGATCGTTTCATTGCAAGTGTGATAAATTGCGTGAAGATTGTGAGGTGAGTTTTCGCAGCAGACGTTGAGAGCAAGTGCGGTTAATTTTAGAGATATTTGCTCAGCTTCTTCACTTTAGTATTTCTATAACATTATTTAAGTATTTTAGCAACACTATTTAATTATAATTAATTTTGCTTGTTTTTTTTTAAATTAAATTAACACACAAATTACAAACAATAATTATGATTTTTTTGTTTGTAAGTTGCAAATTTCAAATATTATTATTTTAGGTTAGGTACATAAACGATGGAACGAATATACGCAACAATACTGTATACAAGGTAAAGAGAAAGAAGCGAAAACAAGTTTTATGATAATTAGAACAGTAATATTAAGTGTGTTCAGTTAAGGAGTTACATGGGTTTCGTCGAGTAAAAAACGCCATATTTTCAATCATTTTTTTTCATATTAAAAATTAAATATATAATTAAAACTTTTTATTATTCCAAAGATATATATTTGATAAAGATTTTGTGAAATTTTCTAAGGAAAATAGTCAAAACTCGGTCATTACGACGTCATTTCCGACAGTCCTTCTCAAAAAAGGTCCTTCCGCGTTGACAGCATCATCAAAAGTAAAAAGAAAAAATACGTGTTTGAACTAAGACCATCAACTAGGTATTGGACGGAGGAAAAACAAGTAAAGTGAAAGTTTTTGGCAGACGTTTAAAAAAAACGTAAATTTTGGTGAAAATTTCTCGACGATTTGTATCAAATAATTGTAATTGAAAGAAGTTAATTTGTAATTGAATTCAAGACCTTGTAAAGGATATCTTGAAGACCTGTGTAAAATTTAATTAAGATCGGTTGAGTAGTTCGCGAGAAATCTTGACAAGCGACTTTGAAAACACAGTTTCGAGAAAAACGCGTTTAAAGTTTTAAATGACTATATAGCTGACCTCGAGCGCGCAACTTTTTAAAGCTGTACCTCCAAAACTATTACTGGGAACAACTTGAGAATTTAGGATATATTCTAGAGATGTTATAGAATTAAATAAGACAATAAAAGAAATGTCTTGTTTTTTGAAGCCGTGAAACCTATGTAACCCCTTAAATCAACAACTCCCCGCTTAAGGGGTTATATTCACTTTCAAGCCAGAAAAAACGTGTTGTTTTGTAATTTTTTTTTTTGAAGAATTATATTATTACTAAATAAGTAAAATATTGGTACGAGTTGACTGTACTTTAATAATCAGCGATACATTTTGCATTTCCTTGATCCCGTAGCCGATCTCCAGGAGGACCTCTGAAGAAAAGAATGTGGCGATGAGGAAGCTTTTTTTGCTTAAAGTTATCCTCATTTGTCGCAACATTAATTAAGGAACGCCTTAGACCGTTACAACAACAACATCATTAAGGAGAAACAATTAATGGAATAAATAGTGGAAAGGGTTATGGCTTAGCAATTTAAATTTTACAAAACTATTTCACTTTAACACTCCACGGTATATGTAATCGCTTGACAATCGCAATGAAACGTTAAACGATCATTATTTGTAAATCGAAATATTTGTTGAGCGAGAGACATTTTTAAAGTAACAAAACGAAACAGAGATCACAGAAAAATTGATACAATAATGATCTCAAGGTGCATCCAATTTGAGGAAAGCAAAATAAAGTGTTGAAAAAGATAAATAATAATTTTAAAATTTTTAGTATTTTGACTATTACTCGGTGTGTCAAGGGTTCAATTTCTAAGGGCGAATCAATAAAAAATATTTAAAGATGCAATTTCAGACAGCCCTCGACAGGTAAACAATCCGTTGAAAGTTTTCGATGACACCTAAAATATTTTGGTATTGTATATTGATATTTTTCTTTCCAGGATTTATCTCAAAACTCTTGGGACCTTAAGTTTGTATAATAACAGTAGTTTTATTGTAATAACAAAAGCCGATAGTAAATTGTAATAAAACGAGCTCATCTCTAACTTCTTGACTATAATTATGGAGTTTATACATAAACTCATCGTAGAGACACTTCGGACAACCCCTTAGATTAGGTTTAGTTAAGAGGTCGATCGTAACAGAACAGGTTAAAACGCCGGTCCGTTGTGGTACCTAAAACTCCGACCATATAAAATTGATCATAAGACTCACAAATCGATTTGAGGATATCACAAATTGGTTCAAACGACTAATGCCAGTTTCGGCTATGCCTCCTGGTTCATCAAAGGTATGACTGTCGAGATATTTCAATCTCAGTCTTGCAAAAGCTGGACTATCACAATCCTCGTATACAATATCCAAGCGCTCTTTGATTTCATGCCGCGATTTTCCTTTCAAAAATAAGAAACAAATTCCGGCCGATTTTGGCACCATTTGGTGGGCCAGGTGCTTACCGCACCACCCATATATAATTATAATTTACTATTTTCAAAACTCGTAAATGAAACGATCGTAGAAAGCATGCGTATTTTGATTTGTAGGTATATGCATATACATTTGTACATAAACATTACAAAAACAAGTATTTTACCACAAAAAAAATATATATTCTCAAATATATAATATAACATATATATGCTTTCAATTTTTTTCCTCAACCAAATCAAATCGTCGAACGGATTTCCCAGAAATTCTAAAAAAAAAATTGTAAGTAAACCTCAGCTGTATTCATCGACTTGAAGTCAAAATCAAGTAAGATTTTAGTATTGCGATGGATACGTTACGCTCAAGAACGAATTAACTGTAATTAAACAAATAAAAATATAAAAATAAAAATAATTTTTGTGTAAATTTAAGAAAATACTTAAAAGAAAATTAAAAAATGATCCGAAACAGTGTGGAAATGGTGCGAGGGTGTTGTTCTTGCTGTTCGGTGCCAAAGAGAAGTAACGTAGAAGAAGAAAAGGATTTTAATGAACGGAAGATTATTGAGGATTTAGAAAGATTGAATGGTGCTAAAAAGTTACTGTTACTAGGTAAGCGAAATCGTCAAATATTATATATAACGTGTTTAATCTGTAGTTCTTGTGAAAAAAAATCTACAAAAATATAAGCAAAAATAACAAAAATAGTGTGCTCAAGGTCACATCTTAAATGCATGTACATATATTGATAAGCTCTTAATGTATATCTACATGTTTTGTTTATATGATTCATAGGGGAAAATATTCAAGCGGGGTGATAAGAACTAAAACAAAAAATGGATCGCGAATTTATGCATAAAAATAAAATTGAATTCTGAAATTTTAATTTAAAGGAAATCAAAACATCAACACAATCAGATTAAACATTAAACAATGGTTGTAGTTGTTGTAGTGGTTACTGAAACCCTTCATGGCAGTAAGTGTCTAAGTGTTGTCATCGTGGTCATCTTACAGAAACAAGCTTTTGCAAAAAGATCGCACTACAGTGAGAGAGCGCTGGAAGATGAGGATTTATTGAACATACAAAACAACTAGCAACATGAAAGAAAACGTATGGTATGTCAGGGATGAAGCTTGGATAAGTAAGCAGCATACTGTAACTATAAAATAGTAACGCATGTCTCTCGAGATCTTGTTCTGTGAATGGTGGTCGTTTCATTCCTACGGCATTAATCGCTGAAAAAGTTCGTGAAGGTGTCAGTTTTAAGGGTACAGGGTTCGAAGTGTGTCGGATGACGAGGGTAAAAAGTAGGAAGCCACTATTGATGGTATCTATATGATAACTCTGCTTGAAGCAAGTATCTATGAAAGTGATCGCTAGACAAAATAACATACAAAGACTGATGCTCAAACAAGAACAAGACTTGTAATTTCATAATAAGAACAGAATGCGACAGCCATCGCGTCGACAAGTTTCACATGCCGAATTTCCGCGCCGGTTATGACCCACTTAGCTATCTCACACATCTTCAATCGGCAGTCACCCAATTAAAAGGTTGTAGACTTCTGCTACACTGACACTGGTCTCAGTCTAGTTGTTGGTAGTCGTCAAATGTACGCAGCACTTCATTATGATTTTTATTCCTTGTTATTCGAATTTCGTCCTCTGCTAATTCCACTGTTTTTTTTTAAATTAATTTAACCTTCTCTCGCAGGTACTGCTGAGGCTGGCAAATCCACTTTCTTCAAACAAATGCACATCAATTATGGTAGAGGTTTTTCGGATGATGCTCGACTGGAATATAAAGGAGTCATACATCAAAATATTCTGACAGCGATGCAGTCGATGCTGAGTGCCATGAAAGTGTTGAGAATATCATTCGATAAAATAGAGCATTGGGTAAGCATGGATGCATATAACCTTACTTTTTTGAAAGCACACTTAATGGAAAACCTGTAAACTCATAACTCACATAAAAGCAGTTTGGTTGGCGATTCGATATTAGAACAAAAAACAATGTTATTCAAAAGTTTGAAAACCCATCTCTACCATGTGTGTACATAGTATATCGACGATAGTTTGCTTTATACGTAAAAAAGCTCTTCCATGTCGAAAATTTTTATTTTCAATGGTTTAAATGGCTCAATTTGAATCCGACAAACTCCGCTCGTGCCCTAAAAGTTCAAATTTGTATCCTTTTACAAGATTACGAATCTTATTCAATGTTTAATCGGTGATTGTATACATAATTGAAAAGATCGAAGGCATTGTATCTGAAGAAATCGCCTTCTCTGATTCTTCTTAGTACTGACTTTCACTGAGGTTTCCGACTTTGCTTAAATATATAAATGTTATCTAGTAAAAGTGATAATTTTCCGTATATACCAAATAATCCAATGTCTGGGCATCTCGAATAGATCATATAAATCCACTGAGCTTCGCAATTTCCGAAACCATATAAATAAATGTATGTATGTACAAATGTGTTTTTATAAATTCTGCTCTTTATTGACTTTTTTATCAATTTATTTTCCTTCCAACAGCTTCTGGCAAATAACATTTTGATCGTCAATGTAGACGCCGTAACCGCGACGACTTTGTCAGCCATAAAATGTCTGTGGGCCGATAAAGGTGTGCAACAATGCTATGAACGACGAAGGGAATATCAGATATTCGATTCGGCGAAATAGTAGGCTTACTTTTTATATATTCTGAAAATACATTTTGATTCACTAATTTACCATATATACCCCAACACAGTTTCCTTGACATGTTGGATTGTATCACGCAGCCCGATTACGTACCCAGCGATGATCACATATTGCGTTCACGAGTTGTTACGACTAGAATAGTGGAGCACGTTTTCGATATACAGCAAAACAAATGGAAGCGTAATAAAAACAAACGTTTGTTACTTCGGTGAATGTGATACTTTCCGATTGTCTAAGCATATAGGCAACTATGATAGAGCAAACTAACCATAACTCTCTTCTGTTCTCTTTGCAGAGTAATAGATGTCGGTGGACAACGATCTGAACGACGCAAATGGTTACAGTGTTTTGATGATGTGACAGCTGTCATATTTCTAACTTCCCTCTCAGAATACGATCAGACATTGAACGAGGCCAAAGGTTTAGTAAGTGCAATGCAAAATTTGAATTTTTTTTACTTGAAGTAGGAAAGCTGTAAATTTAGAACTGACTATGACTGAGTCGGATTTAGAATTCAAATAAATACCGTTACTCAACTGACTTGAACACAGAAATGTTATGGTTTGACCAATAGCCAGTGATGAGCCCGTCTCATTTATCTATCCTATATCCAAAGCTCTTGTTTGATGTTATGTGAACCCACTCCATAGACTGGTTTCAATACTATCGGAATAATAACCGTTGTACGTACAGCAATACTCTTGATGATTTGAAACTTTGGGGAGAACTTCGTTAAATAAGATTATAAATATATACAAAATTTATGACAGGTCCTACAATAACCTGAACATATATTCTTAAGAAGAAGTTCTCTATCGATAGTTTATGGAGTAACTTTATTATTTTTGTTTCGTATTACAGAACCGCATGGAGGAATCAAGAATCTTTTCGTGCCATCTTATCAACGAGCTATTTTCGTAATTCTTCGATTATCTTATTTTTAAATAAACAAGATATACTTGAAGAGAAGATATTGACCTCGCACTTAGTGAGATACTATCCGGAGTATGAAGGTATGAATACCTATATAGTCTAATCCTTATACAATGCATTCTCGCATTAAAACATAGGCTTAAAAATTATTGAATTGTTGAAATATAATTATGATTTGCCTAATGCCCAAATAGAGCGATTCCACAAAATTTACTAACTATAGCGAATTCGCTGATTAGATATTAATATACTTATGGTAGAGCTGAATTTATAATACAAGGTTCAATCTGTTGACTTAGTCTTCTTGACTAAATCACCATAGTTCAGATAATCAAATTATAACAGGATCAGTGGACTAGACCATTATAACCGGATGGGTCTGATTAATATTCCAGCTCCGCAAGTATTTTATTGCGAAACCAGCTTATGGTCGAAGGAGAGAGTTTTACTTGTGCTTTCAGATTGGAATAAATCGAATCGGTTTAGACTAGAAATCGATTAGCTTAAAATGTAAATTCTCAGTTAATCAACGTTTTCTAGATTATGTCCATGACATATTAAGTGAAATTTCTAAAATTTAACAAAATCTATTTTCTATCATCTCATCAAACATACAGTGTAAAATTGGGAAATCCAATAATAACCACTCCCAACCCTCATCACAAGGGATTGGAAATTACTAAAAGTGCGTTAATTCGCTGAGAAAACATTAATTGAAATGGTAAAAACTGGAGTGGCACCGCTTCTTTTAAGGCCAAATCCTATATCTCACCATCTACTCGACTCTTCGAAGTCCCAATATTACCGTGTAAAAATAGGCGAAATCGGATTATACATTTTCAAGCCGAAATACCGAATATAAGGACCTTGTGTATCTTGATGAAATTTAGAGAGCATATACTCCATATTCTAATAATAATATGCTCAATACTCCACAACAACAAGAATGATAGAAAAGATTGTGACATCGTGACGGTGTAGACTATAGAATGGGATGAGGCAACATAGAAACAAAAACCAAAACACTTCTATGGTCTATGACATCGCGTCTATTTTTTTTTTTTTTAATTCTTAGTCACACCTGTCCTAGCCTAAACCAACTAAGAAAATAACGGTAAAACTTGGCGTATTCTCTATCTCTAGCATTCTTGAATTCTTACCACCTCTAACGGTGAGTAAATGTCAAAGTCATACAACGGCATAAATATATTGACCCTACATTTTTATACTCTCGCAACCTGTTGCTACAGAGTATATAGTTTTGTTCACCTAACGGTTTTTGTATCACCTAAAACTAATCAGTTAGATATAGGTTATGTATTATAATGATCAGGTGAAGAGACGAGTTGAAATCCGGGTGACTGTCTGTCCGTTCCGTCCGTCTGTCCGTCCGTCGTCTGTCCGTCCGTCCGTCTGTCCGTCCCGTCGTCTGTCCGTCCGTCCGTCCGTGCAAGCTCTAACTTGAGTAAAAATTGAGATATCTTTATGAAACTTGGTAGACATGTTTCTTGGTACCGTGAGACGGTTGGTATTGCAGATGGCGTAATCGGACCACTGCCACGCCCACAAACGTCCATTAATCAAAACATAACTTGCCATAACTAAGCTCCGCAATAAGATATAAGACTGTTATTTGGTACAAGGATCACATTAGGGAGGGCATCTGCAGTTAAACTTTTTTAAAAACTGGGCGTGGTCCGCCTCTAATAGGTTTAATGTGCATATCTCCTAAACGCGAATGCTATATAACTAAATTCACTGGAGCAAATGTTTTTAGCACTTCTATTACGCGGTGTGAAAATAGTTGAAATCGGTGTGGCAACTCCGCCCACT